GGCGTTCGCGCTAGGGGGTACAGTGAGGTTTCCACTCGCGGCGGTACCATTCACTGCTGACGCATCGTGGTCTGAAGAAACGGCAATGTGGCCATCGTCCGCATAGATACCGGTCTGTGAAGAGGGAGCAGAGCCGGCCTGGAATCGGCGAACGCTCTCGATATCGAGAACGTCGCGAACAACGGCGGCATCCTCGATGGCAATAGGCTTGTCCTTTGATGATGTGGAAGGAGCAAAGAAGTGAATGACACCCTTGCCAGTTCGGACAGCAAGGGCGTGAGCAGTCAGAGCCAAATCCTGAGCCTCCTGAAGAGTCTCAGACTGAACAAATGTGAATCCCGAGTTACGAACGGCTGTAATAACCGAGTAGTCGGGGAACGTCCGGGGCTGAAGAGAGACGTGAAGGACAACAGGGTAGTTGGCCAATTTGTATAGGTGTGAGACGGATGGGAGCAGGATGTTGGATGTGGTGGTGACTGAGACGAGCTTGCCAGCTCGGATGGGTGTGTATACTGAGAGAAGAGGATCCGTGTTGTGTCGTACAGGGATGATCTGGTTGACGGTTAGCTATATTCAGTTACGTTGTCCAATATTGCAATGGCTCGATTAGTGAACTCTATGTATAAACCATACAATTCTCATATTCCTTTTCATAGGTTTATGAGTAGCAGTGGCTTATAGAGCCCTCCAAAAGAGGGATCGGGGATTTTTCGGAGACCATTTAGGAGGGGTAAATAGCCCTTGAGCAGACTAACCTCAGGAACTGTATCAGCACTCTGAGCGACCAAGCTGCTGTCCTTGCGGCTGGCGTATCGGTTCAGGTGAGAAGAGAATTCGGATTCGGTGCCAATGGCGGGCTGGACAGAAACAACGACATCGCTGGAGAGGTAGGCAATTCGAGCCACTATGAGAAGCGCATTAGCAATCGATTTGTCTTGTTGCGGGGCAGGCTAGGTTGGTTGAGATTGAGAACTTCCTGTTCACTCTGACTTGCAGATTCTCCATCTGCGCGGACAAAGCTCAATTGCTTTGCAGAGTCGCAGGTTATCTCCCAACTCATGCAGCATCCCGGTACCGCCTCCAACGCCTGGCATAAAGGAAAACTCACCGGCCTCCTCAGGAGTCTTGACCTGGTGCTGTGAAGCAGCGTCCATTGTGTCGCTTTCCGTCGTCGTGTTCGGCTCGTCGGGTATTATGATCGAACTGTCTTTCAAACAGACAGAGCAGACAAAGCTGCTTGCGCTTCACTCAGAGAAGGGAGAGTGGTGTATAAGAGGAAGATGGAGGAGAGAGGTAGAGAGAAAGGAAAGAAATCTCAATGACGGACTCGCTCAACCAAGCAAGATCCGAGGATTGTGAGTGCTTTTCTTCCTTTTCTATAGAATTAGAAAAAAGGTTTCTTCCCTCTGCTCAACGCTCAAAGGAAAGAGAAGAAGTTTGTAAACTGGAGCGAGCAGAGACACGCCCTTTTGCCTTAGATAACTTTAGAGACGCCCCTCGTTCCGTCTGGTCTTGTCTTTTGGGTCCGGTCCCTCGGCTGTGCTTTTGCTCATTCGCACGTCTTATTTTTTCTTTTCCATTCGCCGATTTTTTCCCCGCGCCATTAATTTAGTTAGGAAAAACAGCTGCAAATTCCATCCAGACGCCGCTCAATGGCCACAACATTGGCTTGTATGAATCCTCGCCCTCGATTGCGTGATCGATTAGCGGGATGCTATGCCCCGGACGGCGGGGCTCACTGCCTTCTGTCGACAGTTTGGGGGTGCTCTCTCAGGGTCGCGCCTTCCGCTGGAACAAGGGCCAGTGCACGACTCCGCGCCCACCGATAGCGAATGAGGAGCTTTGGATTTGCTTCCAGCTGATCCTCAATTGGCCAGTTGGGCCTTATGTAATGCGGTCAACCAATAAAGCTTCCCCACGCGAACACCGGCATTGGGCAGGAGATACGTACAGGGGTGCATGGCGAGCTGGACCCACCCCGAGTTCCTGCTGAGGGATGCTGTTGGGCCACCGACGGTCCGCGCAAGAATTACCAAAATGATGAGAGATTCTATTCTGCAGTATCGTTGCGAAGAATTGCATGACCACCCCAGAAACGAAAAATCACTTGCGAATTACAGGGATCACTCCGACTACCGGCCGGCGTCCGTATGTTTCTCACTTCTCCCAATGATCAATAGGCCCTGAAGGTTCATGAGCTTACTTTACGATTTCATCATTCATATCTGAGGCGGAGGCAGTTGGTAATCCTATCGGCTATGTTCACGATCTCACGATGTCTGAGGTCATGCATCGGAAAGAAAGGAGTCGTCAGAAAGCACAGACATTAACCATCCATATCGGAAGATACCCTCTCGCTGCCTCCGTAGGCGGGAGTGTCCGAGCACGGAGGCTAGCTATTTTATACTGAGGCTTACTGATTGATTAACTGCTCAAATGTCATTGGCCGGTTTCGCCATCAACCATATCAAGATGAAAGTAAAACAGTGATGACAATGGCAGTTTGTGAGAGGGCAGATCTTAGCATTCAATTTCATTGTCTAACCAAAAGGTGTATTAGGTGCTAAGCTGCGTAGCACGTATTATCATTATCCCAATATTTTGTACTCGATGCACCCAATTCATAACCCAGAACAACTCTAGTATACAAGAGACGAACCTTGCCCTCATCGATCCATGACAGCCCAGTACGCAATGGCGAGATGATATCATGTGCCTCTCACGTCTTCCAGCATTGTACTGGGATTGTCCTATCACGCAATCCGCTTTCAACATCTTATGTCGGCTCATCCGCCCTGACAACCCATAGCGGCGGTTCAATGAATCCACAACATGCCGCGATTTCGCCGCATATGCCGCACTTCCTCCGTGCCGGCCGAGTCATCGGCATACTTTCCGTGTTAGACTGAATTTGACTTATGCTTGTTTCCCCTTGAAACTTCAAGATGCCACATTCTTACTAAACAAACTCCGTCTATCGTGTTTGTCCATTGACCACGAACATGCGAATTGCTGAACCCGAAACACCGGCCCTATGTTGCACCACGAAATGCAAAAAAGAGTACATGCTCTCCCTCCCGGCCTGTCCGCTTATTATTCATCTGACTTCTAGCCCTGAGAATGATTCATCAGGGTCGGCCAGTGATGCGCGGTAGATTCCGCATGAAACGGTTTTAAACCTCGCCAGAGAGCGTACCCGCTGAGACGGGCTTGTTGGGTCCTCCCAGATTGGGAGCCCATTCATCAGACTCCCGGGTGTCAAGCCAGTAAGCTCTGCCACATGATACCATCAAACGGCCAAGGCGGCCCCGGCGGCCCTCACCGTCAGGAAGATCCTCAGCGAAAGGACCTTCTTGGTCATCAACGCCAGGGCCTTCCAGAATCATCAGTTGCATATACTTTTGCAACACCTGCTTTGCATACGCCATGACGATGAAACTGAAATATACACGGATCAACGTCGCGCCAACAATCAGCAACATGCTGGCAGCCGTTTCCTGAGGAACGACTTTTCCATGCATGGCAGCCTCCTTACGCAGACCTTGCATACCCTCAGCCACAAAATTAGGGAGATCCGTCTTCTTGGATTCGGTTGTCTCGCTCAGTTGAGTAGAGAAATACCAGTCCAGGCCGAAGGCTGCCGTGTATGCTGCATTGATAACGCTGTCGATGATGTAAAGCCATGCGAGCGCCAAACATTCAAAGGGGCTCTGTCGCCGAATGTGAGGAATAAGAATTGCTAGCCCTACGAGAACCGCAATAGAGTAGACGTATGTCGAGAGCTGGAGGAGAGATAGCTGATATCCAGTAAGAATGGCCAGGAGTCCGTAAACGCCAGTGATCTTGTTGAAGACGAGAGCCAGAGCGATGAGTTCGACGCCGGTCTGGAGGCTGGTGATGCCGAATAGGCTCTGAAAACACTTCAATCAGCTTTTGTTGACCTCATCGCCGTCCTCGTGAGACGATATCAGGATCGAGTCGCGTGCTCCTCCTTACCTTAGGCCGGGGTACCCGGAGGGATCGAGTAAACCGAGACATGGCGGCGCGTTCTCTTGAAAATATGATGTTTCCTTCCGGGACCTTCGAACTCAATGAACTATTCTTCGTCGTTTGTTGATATCGAGATTGGATAAGGAACGCGCAGGAGAAGAACGAAATTACAGGGACAAATGAATGATGCAACCAGGGTCTGCCTCAAGAACTTGCGCCCGAGACTGCCGGTGTAATCTTAAATCACGTGGTAACCGACAAAAGCTGGGTTGAGTTAGAAACTTGTCAGCCAATCATAGTGCTGACTCATCATCTTTAATCTTTTGAGTTTTAGGTGGTGACAGCCAGCCATCACGTCACTTGCTGCAACCCCAAATCCCAAACCCGCCTCAAACCCGCGCAAGTTGTAAGTTAAGAAATCTTTAACCCAATTTGGGTCTCTTGATCCCCCCTCAGATATCCGTTTCGCTGGCCCGCTAAATCGCAGCGCTTGATTCGCAAGACACGACAGAACATCTTCCTGATCTGACTCCCATCGAGTTGGGGTGATTGAGGGAAGTTAATCACATGTGATCCTTTCCGACAGCCCATTCGTGCCCTGACTTTCTATTTTGCCGTATTTTTCCAAGCTTGCTTATTGACTACCCTTGGCAAAAAGGGTCCATTTGTTTTCCTACATGAAGTGGCTTTCGCATCTCTCCACTAGAAAGTCGCCGGCTTTGGTCGGAACTGCGGTTTTTCTTCCTACAAACTCTCTCATGAAGCACTACATTATCCCTAAACCATCCATACTGTTGCCAGCTTCCACTTATCATACTTTCCACTCAACTACGTTGTTGGCTCCAGGTGTTAGGTTCTTCGCAACTCAACTACCCTACACTTCTCCACGATATCTCCCCACCACCCCTCGTCATCCGCATCGCGGGGTCCTGCACATCCCACCAACCCACATACGTATCTATAAACAGACTCAAGGTCTCAGTCTCACTTACAGGTCCAATCCGAGAGCCATGTCTTCAGCAACAAACCTAGTCGAGTCGGCCAAGAAATTGGCCGCCTACCAGGCAGTCAATGACCACCTCGATGCTTCTTACAAGTTCGTCGGCATTGGTTCTGGCAGTACTGTTGTCTACGTTGTCGACGCCATTGTCAGCAAGGGTCCTGAGTTCTACAAGGGAATGACCTTTATTCCTACTGGAAGCCAGTCAAAGGGTCTCATTCGTGCTGCTGGTCTCAACCTTGTCAATCTTGATGAGAGACCAGTCGTGGATGGGCTTCCTGTTCCTCTTGATGTTGCCTTCGACGGTGCTGACGAAGTTGACGAGGATCTCAACCTTATCAAGGGTGGTGGTGCTTGTCTGTTCCAGGAGAAACTGGTAGCAATTGCTGCTAAGAAGTTCATTGCCGTCGCTGGTATGCACTGAGTGGTTTTGTTTCTGAAAAGTTTGAAACAGACTGACAATTAACAGATTACCGAAAGCAATCTCCTAGATTATGTACCACCTGGAAGACCATTCCCATTGAAGTCCTTCCCCTATCTGCTCCTGATGTTTTGACCCGTCTTCGAGCAATGGGCTCAGCCAACCCTGTTGTCCGTTCAGGTCTCCCTAGCAAAGCTGGAGAATGTGTGACAGACAACGGTATGTGGCTTATCGATGCCCCATTTTCTCCCTTGCTTCTTCCCAAGGACATCAAGTCGGAAGGGGATGGTCGTGGAAAGGACGGTGCCTGGGAAGTTAATGCGCTCGCCGAGGAATTGGTCCGCACCCCTGGCATCGTTGAAATTGGACTGTTCCACGGCTTCAACGGCAGTGAAGCCGTGAAGTTGGGCAAGCAACTTCAAGCACAGAAGCCAATTGCTGCTTATTTCGGCCTCGCCAATGGTGAGGTGCAAGTCCAAAATGCAGCTTGAATGGCTCATAGTATAAACCGAGAACGGAGCATGGAAGATGCAACAGTTCTTGATGCATAATTGCCAAGCCCGAGAAACAAAATGTGGAGAACACTTACATGAAGTGAAGGAACGGATCGTTTACCATATATTAATATGTTCCGAAGCGGCATCTTTGACGAAAGTGTAACGAGATAGAAGCGAAATGATTGACCAGCACAAGCCAGTCGAATCAACATTAAAGTTTCTTATATAACGATCGTAGGCTCGTAGTCCTGGTTGTATTATACAAGCTCCTGCACTCAGATCCACACGCTATGCTTAATATCCTATTTTGTGGTGTGAGGTAGCCAGGCTTCTTTCGCATCTTGAGTACGGCTTGCGTTTTCCCAGGTACTCCTGTACTCCAGTCCCGAATCGGTGTTGGCATATTTAGCATGCGCAGCCTTCTTGCGACTGCTGCGAGTTGTTCGTCTTGACATCAATCACTAAGCATCGTGTTAGTTACCTTCGGAATTGCCGGACATAAATACTCACTCTGGTTCGAAGCTTGCGCCGCAGCATCGCTTCCCTCCATGCCAGGCAAGGCTTGTGCTATCCTCTTGAACAGGTTCTTGACGTTGTGACCCAGCTTTGCGCTTGTCTCGACAAACATCAGGTTGTTCTTCTTTGCCTCCTCCTCTCCCTGCTGTGTCGTCACTTCCCGCTTGTCGTTCAAATCTGTCTTGTTTCCAACCAGCACAATGATAACATCGTTACCTCGCTCGGCTCGTACGTCGTCAATCCACTTCTTGGTGTTTTGAAATGACTTAGCGTCTATAAGAAGAGCGGTGTTAGCACGACTCGTGCATAGCCACATTGAGCGCGAGGGGGTAGCCGGGTAGTGGGGTCATCAGGGGCACATACTAGAGATGTCATAGACAACAACAGCTACGCTTGAATCACGGATGTAAGAAGGAATCAAGCTTCGGAATCGTTCTTGTCCAGCAGTATCCCATAGCTGCAGTCGCACCGTCCGGTCCTCGAGGTACATGGTCTAAGTGGGCAGATGTTAGTGTGGCCTAGGAGTCGGCTGTCACGGTCCTGACCTTGGAGAGGAAATCAATGCCAATTGTCGCTTGATACATGTTGTCGAAAGAATCATACATGAATCGTGTGATTAAAGAGGTCTTTCCGACTGTTGTGATCGTTATTAGTGATTTTGATTCGGACATTTCCGCAGTCGGACATCGACATACCGCTCTGTTCTCCCAGAAACACCAACCTGGATATCTGTTAGCTGAATCATTGAAACACAAATTCTCGGTGTACACACTTGAACTTCTTCAAGGGGTTATTGTATGATCCGCCAGCTTGCGACATCTTTGCGGTTGTGTTGTCTCGTTCAGGGTCTTGTAAGGGACGGTGGTGGATTTGACAGCTGTCAAGCTAATGGATATGAGCTCGTTGGAAAGGATGCGATCTCGGTTTCTTCAAGGAATAGATTCTCTTTCTTGGCGACGCAAGAAAAGAAAGAATAACAGGATGATGCGACCTCAGAGTGGCAATTTGTATCGTAGGGATAAAAGGCTAATTACCAGCTGGAATCTGGAGAAAGGAGCGTCTAGATCCTGGATTTGGCAGGAGCATATGACATGGAGGCCACCCTGAACGAATCTGAGGAAGGTGCACGTGCCGATAAGAGCATATCTTTCGCCGTCCATTACGGAGTCCGTATTTTATGGAGGCAGCGGGTCGAGACTCCCGGCTCCACTAAAAAATTAAGAAATCGGTCCCCACCACTTCTATCGACAAGCAGCATTTTCGTTCTTCATTATCGACAACGCGATATCCTTTTCCACAGAGGTCTCGCAAATATGCCACTGTTACAATCCAAGAACGCCACTGGGGGTGATGCCCCCAAACAGTTCAATCAGCCTTCGCGAAAGGGAAAGAAGGCGTGGAGGAAAAATGTTGATGTTACCGAGGTGCAGAAGGGTCTTGAAGAATTGAACAAGGAGATTATCGCTGGGTGAGATAAACTCAAAGCACTTCCTACTCGCTCCGCTAATATCTCTACAGTGGTGTTATCAAGGAAAAGCCCTCTGAAGACTTGTTCACTCTCGATGTTAAGGGCGATGCCGCTCTCCCTAAAAAGTTCAACAAGCACATCAAGAAGGGCCTCAAGGCTGACGAGATCATCAATGCCCGTTCTCCCGTGCCCGCCGTTTCCATGCGCAAGCGACCGGGCGACAAGACAACCAACGGAATTCTTCCTGTGAAACGCCAAAGGACTGATTGGGTGTCACACAAGGAGCTCGCGCGACTAAAGCGAGTGGCCGATGGAGAACATCAGAATACTGTCCAAGTACAAGATGCCACCTACGATATCTGGGACATGCCTGTAGAGCCACAAGCGAAGGATCCCGAAAACTTCTTGGAAGAGGAGGTCAAGCCCAAGGCTCCTAAGACGATGAAGAAGGAGCCCCTTTCTCTGTTGAAGAGTGGCAAGCAAGTGCCTGCTGTCCTCAAGCCTACGGGAGGATACAGCTACAACCCTGATTTCAACGACTACACACAACGTCTGGAAGAGGAGAGCGAGAAGGCTCTTGAAGCTGAGCGTAAACGCCTGGAGAAAGAGGAGCAGGAGCGCATTAAGCAGGAGGCCGCGGCCCGATCAGCGGCAGAGGCAGAGGCCGCAGAGGCTCGTGCCAACCTTTCAGAGTGGGAGGAGGATTCCGAATGGGAAGGATTCCAGAGTGGCGCTGAAGATGATAAGCCATCCGCCAAGCGCCCACAGAGAAAGACCCAAGCTCAGCGCAACCGCATCAAACGCCGCAAGGAAGAGGAGCGTCTCGCGAAACACAAGGCTGCGCTCAAGGCCCACCGTCGCCAAGCCCAGCGCATCCAGGAAATCGCCGAGGAGATCGAGGAAAGAGATCGCAACAAGGCACTTGTCTTGCAAAAAGACGACGAGACCGACCCTATTGATGAGCTTCGTGCCGAGAAGTTGCGCCGTAAGCAGCTCGGCAAGTACAAGCTTCCTGAGCGAGATCTTGAGCTTGTCCTCCCAGATGAGCTCGAGAGTTCGCTGCGCCGTCTCAAGCCTGAGGGCAACATGCTCCGGGACAGATACCGAAGCATGTTGGTGCGTGGCAAGGTAGAGAGCAGAAGACATATTGCTTTCCACAAGCAGGCGAAGCGCAAGTTTACGGAGAAGTGGACATACAAGGACTTCATGATATAATAGAAGATAGATGGGCGTCTAGGTGTTTTAGGGAGAAAATAATATTTCAACTTTTGCTCCAAAAAAAAAAGGCCCCAGAAGCGTAACTCATAGAGCATAACTCCGTCAAGCAAATTAGACTTGCGATTCCTCTGCAACACCGCGTCTACAAACGTGCTTTTCGCAAGTCCTGCTATGCCTCTATACTAAGCTCCAACGCCTCAAAAGGTCTAAAGAAATGACAAATATTAAGCGTCCATAAGAATAGATTTAGAAACTCATTAAATCTGTTTATTGTTAGAGATGTTTGTGAAATTGGGAAGGGGTACAAACCTCGTCCAAAAAGACCTCGCTTGGTCCAGTCCATAGCCATCAATAGTCGTGTTCGCAGACTCACGCTCTGCGCAAAGTAGACAGAGCGCCAAGCGTAAACAGCCCAGAGACCACCAGCCAAGCTTCGACCCTCACCAAGATCAAAGATGGCAGAGTTACCAACATAAGCGAGACTGCCTAGGTGCTTGTACTCAAAAGCCTTGTAAACAGCAGCATCAACATCACCCTCGCGAATGTCGTTGGCGTTCAGGCCCTCGTGCATGCGTGCCATCTTGTTGAACTTGCGAGCAAGATATTGTCCTTGCTGATGAGCGCGCTGGGCAGTAGCAGGCAAGGACGTAAGCTTGTCGTCAACTTGCTTTAGCAATTGTGTCAACTCATCAAAGTCGAGTGTGCCGGATTTGTCCTTATCAAATTCCTTGAATAGCTTGTCCACGCGCTTGAGATGGTTGATAGACTGGGGGAACCGTCTCTTGACGTCCTCAGCAACCCCTCGCCAGTCAGCGAAACTGAGCTGAAGCGTCTCGGGGTCCTTGCCACGCTTCCAGGCCAAGGATCGCAGGAAAGTGACGATGTGGTCGGCAACGTTGTTCTGGACTGTAGAACAATCTCCAATGGCGTATACATCGCCCAAGGGTGAGCCATTGAGACGAAGGTGGGTGTCAGTCTCCAGAGCATGTCGGTTTGTCTGAGATTTGCCCAGCTTAGCAGCCAGTGTCTGGCAGAACTGGGTTTGCGAAACACCAGTCGACCAAAGGCAGAAGCCAATAGGCAGCTCCTTGGTGATCATTGTACCATCTTCTTGTTTTTGTGTGAAGATGATCTTATCAGGGAGAACCTCCTTGACACGAGAGTTGGTGAGGACGTCAACTTGGTCGCGAGCAAAGCGTTCCTCAGCATATCGTGAAACAGTCTCATCGTATGTGTTCAGAATGTGTCCACGGCTTTGGATAAGATGGACTGAGATCTCATTACGAAGAAGCCGGGGGAAGTGCCTCGTCAAATCCTCGTTGAGAAGGTCAAAAAGCTCAGCAGCGAACTCGACACCGGTAGGGCCACCACCACTGACACAGAAGGAAAGCAGACGCTTTCGCTCCTCATCCGGGCATGTAGGCAAGTTAGCCAACTCGAAGTTTTGTATGACTTGGTTTCGAATCATGCGTGCGTCATTGATATCCTTGAGGAAGTAGGCATTTTCAAGACCCTTAACACCGTGAGGGTTGGTTGTCGAACCGACAGCAACGACAAGCTTGTCGTATGGCACATAGAATTTGATATCTTTGCCGTTTGCATCAACTTGCGACACTTCTACCATCTTGTGCGAAAAGTCGATATCCTCAGCCTTGGCGCGAACGAAGTGACCGTTAACCCGGCTCAGAATTCGTCGAATAGGCTCAACAAGAGATCGGAGCTCGAGAGTACCTACTGTAGCTGAGGGAAGCATAGGGGTGAAGAGGAAGTAATTGGTTGGCGAAATAACAGTAACATGGTAATCGTCTGGGTTCAGCTCTTTGAGGAGCGCAACACCTCCCCATCCACCACCAAGAATCACGAGTCGTGGCTTGTCTTTGAGGCGACGCTTCTCTTCCGAGTCGTCATCGTCAATGAATACCTCGGCGATTGGCAGGTTCTTTTCACCACCACTGCGAGGTTGAAGGGCAATCTTGGAGACATCGATATCGCTCTGAGTGGGGTGCTCGAAATATGTACTAGCATCGTAGATGAAGAAGCCGACGATACCAACGCCGATGACTGATATTGAGATGCCAACCCAAGCCGCTAGGCGGTAGCAAAAATTGACCACTTTAGACTTTCCTTGAGGAAGTGGTTTTCCTGATAGAGTGCGCACGAAGAATTGGGAGGGTAGTTGGCGGGTGGTTCGGCTCGTTGCTGGAGAGCCTTTTGTGATTGTTGGCGAAGCACCTGTGAGCTTGACGAAGCTTCGCAATTGCAACGGGTATAGTGGGCGAGGAGCGAGAGATGGTTTGAAGCCTCGAGAGCTGGTAATGGCTCTGCTTTGACCGGCGCGAGCCAGTCGCGCGGCCATCATGGAAGAGACGGGCATTATTTTGCGGAATTGGTGGGATGTTCGACGTCAATCAATGATAAGCCAACGAGGTCAAAGAAACCGTCTAGTGCTTTCTAGATCATGACACGAGCAGAAGCACAGAATGTTAGTGAGAGAACACTCAATGGATGATGCAAGAAGAGAACAAGAGTGAAGCAGAGGAAAAAGAGTCTTCTAGTTTCGATTGTATTGTGTAATGCATGCATCTAAAAAAGGATCTTCCCGTTTACGGAGCTCAATCAGGGATGAAGTGGTTGCAGCTCAGACTTCCAGAGGTGGTACCTACAGCACGGTGCAGCTACGTCATTACCACCTAGAGCTATCTCTCCCCTTCATCACCACCAATTTCTTGGCGATCCATGACAACCAAAGATCGGCGACTCCACTACCGTACAGCAACATCGCACTTCAAACATCAATATCTCATTTTCCATCGTCATTGAACCATAGGCCACTCATAGACAAACCCAGGCATTCATTTGAAGCCATATCGACCCCTCGGATACGTCGGCCGCCATGCCATGGCTTTGGCTGGTTTGCGTCAAATATCACACAGTGGCTCCTCTTTTTTCCAAGTATCCTGTTGGTTTCGGACGTCCCGTTTCGTGGATCCTAGTCGTGGATCAGTTACGTTACAGATGCTGATGAGATGTCAATTGTGGTGGATCTCAAGATTGTGAAGAGCTGACGCAGCAACCAAACGCAGCGCTATTCGTATATTTGCTTCCTTTACGGATATAATTACCGGACATTCCGATAATCCTTATCGTCAATCTTGATTTGACTACCACTATCACTGCGTTGTTTCCAAGTTTCCGCCATCATATATCATGACAGACGTATACTATATATAAGACTGGTCCATCAGCAGCGGAAATACCTCTTCTCGACCCATCGTTCTTGTTGGTAGTCGAGCATGTTGCAAACCACGACTGTAATCTCTGGGAAAACGGATGTCAATCTGTGAAGTCCAACCTTGCCGGCCGAGTATGTTGCTAGAACGATACGATCCTGTTTCACGCCGTGATCGACCAGGACTTGCACCGCCATCAACGCGGCACCTCCAGTAGCCATCTGGGTGTCCAGAAGAAGGACACTTTCTTGGTCTGCAATATCGTCAGGTAGTCGCAAGTAATGAAGTTCCGGCTCTCCCGTGGAATAGTCGGATTGGATAAGAAGACGGCCCGTTCGGCAATCGGGAATAGTCTTTCGAAGCGCCGGCTCAAACGCGGATCCTCCACGGAGTACAATAACGGCGCAGACCTCACCCGTTGATACAAGACCCTTGTATTCGTATCCCTGGGGTGTTACAATATTCTTGGCTTCGAAATGGGCATTGTTGAGGGCCCTATGAAGTGTTAGCGAACACACTGTCTTTCGTACTCACAGCCTCTCGGTATCTTACTGTTCAATAATCAGACTTGCAAGCCTGTCAAAGTAGAATATGAAGTCCTCAGGATCTGTGTCAATATCCTGAAGGATGGTGTTCATGAATTTGAGCTGTCGTGTATCATCCAAGACCACGACCCGTTCAGAAAGCGGCGAATCCTTACTTGCTGCTTCCAGACGGGACAGAGCCTCTCGGTGATGTCTTGACTTCTCGAACAGCTTCTTCTCGACAAACTGAACCATCATTTCTACGAACGTGAGCGTTTTAGTCGAGGTTTCAAGGACTCGTGACTACTCACCAAGGGCAACTCTGTTCTCAATTCCTCGCGGTACGATCAAATCAGCAACTTTCCGTTGGGGCTCGACGAACTTGAAGTTGTGAATTAGCCTTCATAAGAAGTCCCCCGTTTCTGTTACGAGGTGCTTACCTTCTCAAAGTTTGGCTTGACGAATCCAAACCACTGCTTGATGATGCCCTCGATATCTCGCCCACGCTCCCGCACATCACGGACAACTACATGGACGTGGTCAGAAATCCTTCCCTAGGTCTTCGTAACGTTGAGACTTACGTCTCCTTGACAGGCATGTATCTGCATCTGCCTCACAATAGATCTAAACTCCGTGTTAGGTCCATATCATTCTCCTCCATGGGGCATCGGTTTTAACCTACACCCATATCAAGCAGTTCAAGCACTCGAGGGTCGTAAAGCGCAAAGATACCCTCTAGGACAAGTACATGAGGCGAGTAGATGGATGTTGTACGGTCCAATCGAGAATGTTTGGCGAATGAATAAACGGGAATTTCGGCCCGTTTTCTATGAGTATGGTGAGACGTCAGTGAGGTGTAAAACCCAAGGTCATCGTCAACTACACATACCCAGCCTTGAGGTCCCGTAGCTTATCGACCAAAATATCGAAATCGATGGCCTATGAGAATACCATCAGTTGCTATTCTGGCAGTACATACTATATCACATGAAGCATACGTCAGGCGAGTCGAAGTCATATTCGTTGGCGAAGGCCAGTTTGGACTGCTCAGGTGTCAAGGTCTTATAAAAAGAGTCCTGTTATATATGAGCTTATGTTCGAAGCATAGTTTCAGGGATTCATGCCATTGACAAAATAACGACCCAGGGTAGGTTCAGCTTCTTGACGATCGCCTGGGACAAGGTCGATTTGCCTGAACCTGAGCTGCCCGCGACGCCGATAATGCTGACATCGGCCCAAGGAGGTGAATAGTAAGCTCGCTTCTGAACCGTGACATGACTCTCGAGCCCGCCATTGACTTCAGGAATTGCAGAGGCGGACATTGCGGTGGGCTAGTTCTCGATGAGGTCACCGTCACCTGAGATTTGGTGCGAATAAGGCGAGGAATGGTTGAACGAATGGCGAGGATATTTGGTAGCTGGAGAACTCAAACTTTCCTCTCCGAAAACTAGCCCTGCAATGTCCACGAGCTGTACGAATATGGTGCCTCCAAAGTTTCGACTCGAGGGTTTGGCTTGCCCGTCGTTGGTGGAGCAGTGAGCACGGTCCTGTCGCGTGTGTGATCCACAGAGGGCCAAGACGAAGCGGGACAGCAGTGAGAGCTTGAGTGAAGAGATGAGCTATTGCTAGTAGTTGTAGCTATAGGTCAGAGGAAAAGGTGAGAGTGATGGTGTATATACATATACTCTGGTGGTTGAGTTAGAAGTAAAAGTGGAAGAAGATAAAAGCTCAGCCCTGGCCCTGCTCATGTTTTAACGATCGATCTGACCTCGTCAGGGTTCTCCTCATACCGTATCTGTATATCGAAAGACGGCGATGGCCGAAGGCGCATTACATTCTCCGCACGATCAAAAGAGATAAGCTACTGTCTAGCCCTGTTCTACTGTAGGTATCACGCCTCTAGCTCGATCATGGTGACCTCTGTTGTATGTAATCTGTGGCTTGGCTCATGACACTCATCTCATGAGCTGGGGTACCATGACCATCATTGAAGCTTGAATTAGAGCTCATGAGCTGTATTACACCCGCAGTACTATACCTGAAATATCGAATTGACACTTGAAGTTGTGATTAGGTTCATATTATAGATGGTATTGCACAGCCCAGATCGATTGATCGAGAGCAATGGGATAGCCGCGGCATACAACGGAGCTCATTTTCAGGGACCTGACCTTGATTTGGCGGGGCTGTCATTGATGGAGACCTGAGGCAGACAGGACGGAGCTCAGTGGAGCTTTCCGTTGATATGATTGGTTCTCAAGCCCAGTAATGAGGCTACGGGCTTAGGACCCACGAGCACGGCGCTACTTTTCCTCCAGCCCCAATCATATTTTCTTCTCTTCCATCTTCCGTAAACCACTTCTCTTTTTCCTTTTCTTCTTTCTTCTTTACATCGTTCTGAGTAAACACAGAAAGTTTCCTTTACGAGTAGCATAGAGATCACGAGCCTGGATTGTGGCCTGATTCTCGATGCGCTGAATCGCCTATAGCCGGCCATTGCTTCTATACCGTGCCGTCGATTAACCCGTCTCCGTTCAAGCTTCGACTCGCAGCGATATTCGTGCTGGGACAACCAGACAAAATGGTGAGCTATGCTGTCGACAAGGCGAGCTTCAGCCCAAGCTTTGTATAGCTGGGTGCTGACTCGAGAATCAGACGTCATCTGCTTCTACAGCGACTCCCGTCAAGCATGCCTTTGACCGGCGTGTTCACGATGTCAAGTCTCCCAAAAGGTACGATACTCTTCCTCTCGAGCCATTTCACCTACCTTGGTCAAGTGATGAACGCACTATCAATGGGAATCTCTCCTAGCATATAATGCGGAAACACGATATCAATCTTCTTTTTTCTGAACCCACCATTCAATACATTTCGTTGTATGCACTTTTCATGTCAGCAGTTGCTAACGTCTTCAAAGTGATATCAACGCTCTAATACTGGACTACCTTACTATGGAAGGGTATCCGAATGCGGCAGCAAACTTTTCCAAGGAAGCCAATCTTGAACCTCATCAGGACACACAGTACATTATAGCGAGGCAGGAAATCCAAAACTGCATCCACAGTGGTGATATCAAGACGGCGATTACGACACTCAATGAGTTTGACCCACAGGTATGCACTTCCACTTCCTTGAGCCCATTTTTTATATGATTAGAACACGAGTTTTACATGCACCACTCATAGAGCCTTCGGGCCTTTGATGAGGAACAACCACTTTTTATGATTATCTTTCTTGTCACTTCTTCATCTCACAGATTTTGGAATGTATCGTCGCTAACTCGACATAAAGATTCTAGATGGGGATAAGGCACTGCATTTTACCTTGCTACGACTTCAACTCATTGAACTCATCCGCGCTTGTAATGCGACTGGGGATATCCAACCAGCCCTCACTTTCGCTACTGAGGAACTAGGCCCCAAAGCGCCCACGAACCCCAAGTTTCTGGAAGACTTGGAGAGGACCATGGCGCTGCTCTTGATTCCGTCTGACGCGCGCGAGCCCCAGTTGGCAGCGTTGCTAGAGCCAGAGTTGCGACGAGAAGTTGCAGACAGCGTAAATCGGGCCATCCTTGAAAGACAATCCCGAAGACGTGAAGCAGCTATTCGCCAGCTCGTTAGAATGCGTGTCTGGGCCGAAAACACTGCCCGGGATAAGCGTAAAAACTTACCTGACCGACTGGATATTGGCTTGAACGGAGAAGAACCCGACAGCCCTAGACCTCACACCGGAAACGGCCATGACCCCATGATTACAACGTGACATTGATACTCCGACTTGGAGGCATGTTCAAAGAGTAGTAGTTTTGATTGTGTGGTGTTGTTCTTCGTACAAGTAGCGCTTGGCGTTTGGGATAAGATTGACATCCTTATGGTAAGGATCATGAATAAGACAAAGGCTGGCTGTCGGGCGTTCTGAAAAGGCTTTCATAAATAGGCTGTAGACCTCGACAGTATCCTAGAGGCAAGATTAATCATTCATTTATCACACATGCCACTTCACGCGTGACATTGCCGCAATACAGGTTTCTCATAGTTGAAAGTCACTGAAATTGAACGAGTCTTTAAAACATATTTACATGGGGCCGGGCTGTCTAAGCCATCTATTTTGTCCTGATATGCTTGAGCTTTCTGGCAGAGTACAGGAAGTTGTTGGCATAAGCCTTAGGTGCAAACTTGCGAGAGTTTGGCTCCTGAACAAAGTACTCGTAGCCCTGCTTCTCAGCAAAGTGAATAGCATCCTCCTTGCTCGAGAAGTTGATGTGGGTACCTTGCATAAAATCTCCCGAAGATTGCCAACCGATCAATGGGTTCTCCCATCGATGCCCCTTGGGAAGAATATCCCAATCCATTCGCCAGCGTCGACCGCGCCAGTCGCCGGATTGAGTCGCCGGCTTAGCTTCCTGGTAGATGCTGGAGTAATTGTTAGTTGCTGAGGCTTTCGGCGACATTCGAGTCATGTATGTGGGCAGACGAACCGAACTGTTCGGGCCTGGAGTTCCATGGGAGCGCCTGAGATCACAGCAGCGGGAAGGATCTCTTCGTTGCCTTGCTGGATGGATCGAGGGACAGGTGTGAAGGTGCTGGCATTGAGTCAGCACTGTTATTCCATCTTTCAAGTTTTCAATCGCGTTTCGAGGAATCGTACGAGGTAGCCTTGTCAGCTTCGATATTGTAGTCGGGCTCGCTGGTAACAGGGCCAGTGACGGTGCCGCTGGCCTGAGTGACGTTGCTCTGGAATCGTCGGGGTGCGGCGGAGAGGGCGACTCTGGGCGCAGCAGCGCTTCGCAGCATACGAGACGCACTCTGAGATCGGAGGGCGGCCATGTTGCAAGGCGGTAGCTTTCAATTGGCGACAGGGGAATGTCGTTTCTTAAGTGAGTGATGGTGGTCTGCGGCGATATTCTGAGGTTGAAGCAAGCTTGAACGGCATGATCCTGATTGGGTGGAGCGGATCAGTTGTTTTGCCGAAGTCGCGGAACGAGTGCTTTTCGGCAAGAACCTGAACCTGGGCGGGACCGTTCATCTCGACAGAACCTCAAACTACAGCCCTTGCAATTGAGCGTCACGCAGACCCTCGACGGACCAATTCTCGAGACTCGAATCCTCCGAACTACCGACATCATGAGCTTCGTCACCCGCCGAGCGCTCTCGACGCTCATCCCCCCCAAGGTGAGAGAGAGCCCCTTCGGTTATGGGCGCAAATCCCCGGTGCTCCGATTGATTCCGTTGCTAACACCAGTTTTCAAAACAGGTCGCTTCTCCTAAGGTACGCAGAATCCGATGAAATTATTATCCCACGGAGCTTCGTTTTCGATCTCGACGAATTTTGGATGGACGAGGACTTTTATAGGCGATCGACAATGGAGGGAAATTTCGTCATGATGGAGATTCAGAAGGCTGACAGAACTCGGTGCACCACAGGCCATTGGCGCTGCTCCTGATGCTATCCGCATGCAGCGTGTCGTCAGCTTCTACGAGAAGCTCCCCCGAGGTTCCGCCCCCGAGGTCAAGGCTAAGGGTCTCCTCGGCCGATACCAGGCCAAGCACTTCGGCAAGAACCCCACTGGCAAGCGTACGGACACCCTCTCTCAAGATTGGATTTAAATGTTGGATTCTGACAGTGATTGTGTTATAGCTATCATTCACCTGATTGTCTTCCTTGTCAGCATCGGTTACGTCCAGAACTACTACTTCCACCTTCGTAAGTATCCCTATCACAGGGTTGAAGGGGAGCTGTTTGCTAATACTGGGATCACTTAGGCCACCACAAGAACAACGCTCACTAAGCAGCTTAAAATGGCGTTTAGATACCTTAGATGGATCATTGTGTGAGAGGGAGCGGGGGTCGTGTACATATAAACTCCGGAAACTTCGCGGTCGAGCACGCGCCTTGGCTTCCCTATGTATCTCTAACAAGCAAGTGATGTGACAATGCCATCACGTTTTTGGTTATGCGCTGTTCTTTGGTTCTACGTCGTGCTGTGCCTTCGGAGCGGAAGCTTTCTGTGTATCCGTCCCTCTGTCAGAATTGTGAGCTTTTTGGGTGGTACTGCCTTCTCAAGCTCTTCCGTATTCTGCACAAAGAGACGACCGATATTGGAATCGTTGAATCTTGCATGTCAAGAATTCGTCTTGGCTTTGCTTCGGTTTAATCAAGTCTGTACAAGCTGCAGTACTGTAGTGTACACACTAATTACTTTCAACATATCATGTTTATAGTGTTGACTCAGCCGGTCATCGGAGTAAGCATAAATGCAGTCCTGACAAGTCTGCAAGTGTGGGTGTATAGTTACTTAAGTGAATGATTGGTCTGGACAAAATGAAAAATACAACATGTAAACTGCATTGTTTGCAGGATGTGAAGTGCTACTCAAGGAAGCCAATTAGACACCTAGGTAGCGTATGTACCAAAGCCTATTACAGAGGATGCTTGCCTGCCTCATTAACCTATTTTCATGCAAAAGCAAATGCTGGATGACACTAGTGATATTGAATGACTCTCATGAATAATAACATCACGTTCCTTGTATCCAAAATTAGATGAGATCAGATCCTTCCTAATCAGCTGAGTGGCCGGTAGAGTCATTCGGCTCCATGCTGACAACCTACCTAGCCATTTGAATGATACCCCTAAGCTCCAGGGCGTACCGGCCTTGTAAGCTGGCAGCTAGCAACTGGAGTTGCTCCCGGCAGCCCTGCCACTGTCAGTCAGGGGCCGGGTACGGATGGCCAATCCCAGCCCCTTATCGTTTGGCCGCTAAGCCTAGCCCAGCCTCCAGCATCACTTTCGGGTCTCTGAAAACTGGCGTCTGTCTGTCTGGCCTTCCACATCACAAACACCAGTGCATCAGCCGCAGTTACTCCGGGTTCATTGAAACCTCACCTTACACCTCGCAACTGACACGCCTTGCAGTTCGGTGATTTCCCCTCCTCATATCCCACCCACGACCCTTGGATCGAGCATCGTATCAAATATCTCGCAATCGGACGACCGAAGATCGCCTTTTTATACCCATAACATCCTCCCATCCCCACTACCGATACTCTTGCCCTCCCCGCCCCGCGGCGTCGCAACTGATCCGACTTCGAGATCCGACGTTTCGTCTGCCTCTAAACTCTAGTCCGACCAGAAATCGACGAGACTTGGCGGAGAAACTCACCAAGAGGGCTTCTTTTGCTTAACACACGACCGGCGCATTCTTACCACGTATGATGGCAACAGAGGCTGCCGTTGATAAAGCTGCCGATGCCACTGCCTCTCAGTCACAGCCTGTACGTTTCATCTTCCCTGCTTTGCGAAAGTAAAGTTACAACCGTTTTGCTTCTGGCGAAATTGGCACACTGCGGCCTTCTTCCTTCCCTGTTTGAACCTATTGCTTCAGTTAGCCGAGCTGCTGTAGCTAACCTTGCTAACAAACTTTCTCATGAACTTAGTCGCCCGACGCCGAAAATGTCGACCCCGTCCGCTCGAATTTGAATGGCAGTGCCGGCAACGATGACTATGAAAATAAGCACATTACGAACGTCGAAGATCAACTCACCTCGGCCGATGCTAGTGCCAGCGGAGGTTCAGATACAGAGGCATCACGCGCAGATGCTTCAAAGACGAAAGATGGAGAGAAAGCTTATGGCCGCGCAGGCTCCACGGTCAAAAAGCCTGCCTTCAAGGCTGTCTCGGTCAACAAAACTTTCCTCGCAGCAAAGGCGACTGCCAACAGTGCTGCAACCAAGGCCGCCGAGAAACAGCCTGCCGGTTCCAGTACACCCCCGACGACATCTGCCACCTTATCCTCTTCAAGACCTCGCCTTATAGCAAAGACCGGTAGCAGCACTCGCGATTCATCGCCTCGGTTTTCTGGTGGTGTGAATGGCGGAAAGCCTGGCAGTGCACCTGATGCAAATGCAGTTTGGAACAAAAACCGACGTATGTGCAACATCCTGGATCAGCCAATTTAATGAACTAACAAAACTGTAGCTGTGCCGCCGCCTGAACCCAAGAAGTTTACCGATGAGGAGCTCAAGAAGTATGGAATTCATATGGCCAGTCGTTTGAACGAAGATGATGCACAGGGGCAGAACAAATGGGCAGACATCGACGACGACGATGAAGACTGGGCCCCTGAAGCTATTACTTGGGGAGATGGCACAAAGACGACACTCCCCCACCCTGACGAGCATCCACCACCGCCATCAGAAAGTGGTTCTGTTGCGTCCAAGGGCAAACCCGTCGATAAACCACGATCTCCAGCTCCACCTGTTGCTGTGAGCTCCCCCCTGACGAAGTCGAGTAATCTGGCCCAGGGTAAGGGTTTGATTCTGAAGAGTGGCTCCCAGGAAAAACCAACTCTTGTTGCTAAACCTCCAGCTCCTCCGGCACCTGTTAAGTCCCCGTGGGCGCCTCTACCTCCGGTCGAGAAGGCTTCACCTATTCCAGAACAGGCCAGTCTTGCTAGACCACCACATAATAAGGGCATGACTCCACCGCCTCCAAAAGAATTTGCGGCGGATGATTTCAATCGTTGGAGAGACAGTTCATCTCACGGAGGCCGGGAATTGTTTAACTCCCATTCTGGCCGCTACGAACCAGTGCACGACAACCGACGTGGCTCGATGAGAATGGAACAGCATCCAAAGCATCATCCTTCCCTATTACAGCGGCCACCTCAACCAGATTATCCAGCTGAACCCTCGGGTGCTTTCCAGACCAATAGAGTTTCTCAGGAACCTCCTTTCGCTAGAAGACGAGGATCATCTAATGTTAGTAGCGGAAGTGGCTCATTTATGCAGCGTTTGAACAAGGGAGGCGAAGTGCCCATCCCCCCTCACGAATTACAGGAAGGCCGTAGACCGTCTTTCGTTGGTTCCGTTGATGGCATCGTCTCCCCCAACCTTTCAGCCGCAGCGCATGGCCCAACGAGGGGCCAACATCATTCTAACTGGATGCCTCCCCGGAGTTCTCCAAATCCTGCCTTTGCGCAACCACACCACCCTGCACCTCTTCCTGAGCAAGTCGCCGGTCCACCCCCTCCCCTTCAACCTGCTAGCGAGGAGGTCGAATATCAGAAGAAGCTTATGCGAGAACGTGTCGAGTTAGCTAGGAAGCGACGCCAGGAAGAAGAAGCCCGCGAGGAAGCTGAACGTCGGGAGCGCATTCAAAAAAAGCTGGATGCTATGGGGCCTGCTCCAGAGAAGAAGACCGAGAAGAAGGAGCCCGCAGAGAAGCCCGACGATGTTTCACATCCAACACATATTCAACAACGTGACCATAGTAGCGTGGCAAACCAAACTCCTACACAATTGCAGCAGGATGGTGACCACTCTGCAACAGCTTCGTCAGCTCGACAGCAAACTCAAGATTCCGATGCGAAAGTCGGACACACTCAAGGCACAGCGCCGGCGGCGAGACGCGTATCTCACAGTCAAGAAGCGAAGCCTAGTGAGCTTTGGGGGGCAGCCGCAGCATCACGTCAGGATAGAGCTGTGTCGAATTGGGGTACAGGTTCGCAGCCCCGAAATAATGTTTGGGGGTCACCTAATAATGATCGAGGCCTTGGTAACGGCACATTCAACACCGATATCAGTCGTGCACCTCTGGATAATCGCTCAGGTTCTCAAGGAAACAAGGGGCCATCACCTATCGCCCCTCCCAATAATCAACGACAACCTTCTCAGGCCCGATCTCAGCCTCCAGCCCCAATCGGTTCTGGACCTTCACGATACGGCTCTTCTGGTCCCCATCCTCCGGCAGGATCTGATGTAGCAAGCAAGTGGATTAGTGCCGTCGGTGAAAAGGACAAACAATTGAGCGCCAGCCGATTAGCAGAGCGGGTTGAGCGCGATCGCCTACTTGCTGAACGTGGTGTTAGTCTTGAGGATGCTCAGCCGGTCATCAAAGATACATGGCGCCAGGTTCATGCTCCCGGTGATGGTACAAGACGTCCTATTGGTCCTCAAGAAGCACAGCCAGCTGCCCCATGGAGGAACCCTGGCGATGATGCAAAGGAGGATCCTACTAATGTTGGAGTGGTGGGAGGCGGAGTGCCAGGCCAGGCCGGAGCTTCACAGAACCGCACATCTCGATTCTTCCCTACGAGAGACTCGTATGATAGAATCAATGAGAATGAGCCGTCGCGATCCAAATCGCCAACCCCCCCGCCACCTACAATGGAAGGCCACCCAGCGTACGAGGGCGATGTTATGAAACCTCTTGTATCGCTTCCAAAGCCTCACCCTGTGGTGAAGCTACCCCCATCTATGACGGCCTCACAACCTCCCTCAAATCGTGTACAGTTCGGCTGGGCGCACCCACCATCCTTCAAGGATGTCGTCCGGGGCCCTGTGAGCCCCAATCGTGTACCATTGACGGCCGGAGAGTCTTCTCAAGAGAAGTGGCAGAATAAAATTAACAGTTTGCTTGGTAACAGTTCTAGATCTCCACCCCAAAGGTCAATTGGCGTCGACCCTGCAAGCAAGAGTGCTCTGGATCATGTTGCCTACCACGACTCAGCCACTGTTTCTCTACCTAGGAACAATGTTTCAGCTCCCGCACATTTTGATAAGAGCCTCTCGTCACCCGTCACCAAACCCATGGCCGAAGAGTGTTTTGAAGAGCAAGAGATGGGGTCCTTACCGCAGATTCGACTACCACACAAGGCTCCCGAAGCCGCTTGGCAGCCGGCATTGGCACCAAATAAGCCTCTGCCGAAGAAATTTACAATTCAGCCAACTGTCATGGAACCATACTACTTCTCCGCTGAAGTTGTTGGTGGCGGCAATATTATGAGAATCATGTTCCCTAATATGCAAGAAGCCAGAACTGTTACTATTCCTTTCTCAGCAACTCGAGGTGGTCGAGGTTCGCAAGGAAGAGGTGCTCCCAGAAGCCGGGGTTCTGGCTATGAACGTCGAGGAGGCAAGCGAGATGTGTCGAGCTCACGAGGAGAGCATCCCCCAACAAGCTCAGGTCGAGGAGGCCGTGGTAGCTACCGCGGTCGAGGTTCTGACTGGGGTCGCGCGCCAAGTAATCCTGCTTCTTTGGCTGCTTAGGAAAGCAAAGCAAGCTGGAGGAAACCGGCCGAGATACCGGCATGACACCATCCTCAGTCTATTACATAATACTGGCAGCGCATCTTGTGTTTATCGCTTTATCTGCTGATGCATTGGTCTCACCTCCCGGTACATAGCGACCCCGACCATTCCGATGTCCGTATTCAGGATATCATGGAATGAGCTTCTACATACATTGTCTGCACAGCCATATACTGCAGACTTTTTCAACGTGCTAGCATTTGCTTTTTACGCACATGTCAAACACGCTATACCTTTTTTCTGTTTTTTCTTCGTCTCCCTTTACAACACTAGGGCTCTGTTTTGTCTTCATAAAAGCATACATGGCGGGCATTGCTTTTTGTGAAAATGATAGGATCACCTGGAAAGGGGAGAATTGACAGGCTTTTCAAGGGTCACATACAATCCAAACCAAATGAAACACGCGCCATGTTCTCGATGACAGGGGAAGGGAGGACGGCGTCTGAGTAACAAGTTCGATGACCTGCTTTACTTCGGGTCGGGACTGGGTTCGCGATAATCGAAAGTGCTAGGTTTTTTCCCCTTATTTTTGTACTTCTTGTATGAAGGAGCTGGATCAGATAAACCTGGAAATCAGAAACAGCCGCAACGGACTTATGGAGAGAGATCACTATGATGGGAACGATGAGCGTTACTACGCCTTGACGAAATCAACGAGTGCGTACAAGGCTCTGTCAGACAGACGATTGATCAAGCATACAAATTTCGCGAACTACAAGTGCCTGAATTGGACGTGACTGATGAATTACTGTGTGATGGTGACATTGTAAGATGAGATGTAATTGCTACATGTATACCACACTTATTAATTGCCATGTTCATATAGTGTTTGTACATTAATGGTATCTATCATATTCAACATCCTCGTAACAAGGTCCCCTTCTAAAATTCCACTCATCCCATGCATGATATACAGTCGCTCACATTAAGATGAAACAAGTCGACAATGTAGTATCACAAACTCCTAAAACGCCCGTCTTCCAAGGCGTTAAGTCATGACGTGCATATCAGCCTCCCTCCATTCATACTTTCTCGTATGTTTTCAGACAGATAATTAGACCTCCTCGACCGCACAGTTGGGGTGCACTATATACATGATTTGGGAGGGATCTGTTGAAGAGCTTGCTTCACCATCTGTGAGGCCTTCGCCGCGGAGAGCCATGAGGATGTTTTCCTGCAAATTTGAGTTAGTATAAGGCTTGGAAAGGAGGATGTATGTATATATGTTGCTTACCTTGACCATCTTTTTGAGCACCATGTTGGCGAGAGCTTTTTCTCTGTGATAATCTTCCTCGCCTTGAAGCTCATCCTCCTTCTGCTCCAGATACCAGTTGACCAATTCCTCGCCATTAACACCTTCGTTGTTGCCGACCTCAGCATCGGTGATACGCTGAACAAACAAGTTGACCATCTTGATGTAATTGTCGTAGGTGATTGTTTGTTTCCTTCTTTCAGGGGCAGCACTGCTACGGCCAGGCTGTGTGTCATCTTCCTCCATGACTGCGTCGTGTGCTTGACCACGGCCGGAGGCAGCATCAGCGGCACGGAGAAGTGTCTCGCTATCTTCTTCGGGTTCCTCGTCGTACACCTCAACGTCATCGTGCTCGACAGAGATGATACTCTGTCGCAGGAGGTTGTAAGCCTCGACAACCATCTCAGTGCTGATCTCTTCCACACAGTTGACCTTTGCAATAGCCTCGGAGAGACGAATCATACTCTCGAGCTGACGGACTGTAATTCGGTATGAGTTCTTGCCCACGCCTCCTTGGGCATCGTCGGCGCGAAGTTCCTTGTACTTCTCCACGAGGACATCCTTGGCCTCTTCGGTGAATTCAGGTCGGAAAGTCTTTGCAAAACGGATGTATCGCTGAAGTTGCTCTGTGCTGAACTCGGGCTCAACAGCCTCGTCACGCAATTGGTGGATGCCAACAATGTGCTCTGCCAAGTGGCGGTCGACTTGTTCGTTACACTCGTCGAGGACAACAAAGAAGAGATCGAAACGAGACATGATAGGTGCCGACATGTTGATGTTAGCGCGGAGGGTCGTCTTGCGGTTGTAACGACCACCGACAGGGTTAGCAGCTGCAAGAATACTGGTTCGGGCATTCAGCGTAGCTTGAATACCGGCCTTTGCGATCGAGATGGTCTGCTGTTCCATAGCTTCGTGAATGGCGACTTGATCTGCGATATCCATCTTGTCGAACTCATCAATAGCACAGACGCCATTATCTGCCAGCATGAGCGCACCAGCCTCGATGGTAAATTCACCTGTCTCTTCATCCTTGACCACTGCAGCAGTAAGACCGGCGGCAGATGACGCCTTGCCACTGGTGTAAACAGCACGAGGCGCGAAAGAGCACACGTATTTCAAGAACTGAGACTTGGAAGTGGAAGGATCACCGACGATGCAAATGTTGATATCACCTCGAAGTTGCATACCCTCAGCTGTGCTCTTGGGGACACCAGACATGAGCTGGAGCAGCAGACCCTTCTTGACGACCTCGTGGCCGTAGACCATGGGAGCAATAGATTGCACAAGACGGGAATAGATATGGTCACCGTGGACCATTGCTCGCAGGTCCTCAATTTCAGAGGGGTTCATGGATGCTAGAACAGCAGCTTGGGCATCTTCCACTGACTGCTCTCCCTCGTTGGCTGTGTTCTGTGTCAAAGCATTGACAACATCGGCAGCACCACTGGCAGCCGACTGGCCAGATGTCGAAGTGTCTGGGTTCACCATGCAGGCAAGGAAAGCAAGACGATATGTCAAGTCTCGTACACCCAGAGCCTTGAGGCCGCTGATTCCACTTCCACCGGCATCGGCTCCTCTAGGCGCATTGCGGTCGTCACGGATAGCAGTCGGTCGCAGTCCTGGAAGGCCTAGTTGACTGACATCAGGAACGACGATCAGGGCACCAGTGAAGATGCACTTCTCTCCAGCCTTGGCGCGATCAACAATCTCACCACGCAGAATAACGTCCATAGTTCGAGGCATGCTGCCTGTAGGAATCTCGGAACTGTTCTCCTGAATTCGAACTTTCTGCCAATCGACAAAGGTACTGCGGCGAATGTCGAGTTGCCAGGCCACACGGTTCTGGCATGTCGAGTTGGGGCATTGCGTAGGTTCCGTGTATCGAAAGGTCTGCTCAACATTTGGCACAACAGTGCGACAAGCCTCGCAGGTGAAAGTAGCGACAGACAACTCGGGACGGACTTCGGATGTTCGCGTGACTGTTCCAGAGATAGAAAGAAGCTGACCAATGTTGGCGGCTCGGAGGGCACGGACTCTGGAAACTAGAGGCAAGTTGTAGAATGCGATAGAGAAGAGCTTGTCGGTTTGTTGGTGCTCGTTCTTGCGGTGTGACGACTCGGACTGGCTGGCAGAGCCGAGATGACTGGCCGCAGAAGTCGTGAGATTGCTCGAGGCTGTGGGCTGGCGATGTTCGCGGAAGTACATTGGCTCGTACTTTGCAATCATGTTGTGTAAAGCAGCGGTGAGAAAGGGGAGGAATCGGTAGTATTGGCGCATAATACCATCTGCCAAACTGCCATTCTCCCATGCAGCCAAATGTCTATAGTCAACGTAGAATGTCGAAAGCGAGTATGTGCGCATGCCTTTGATCTGGGCGACATAGTACTTGTCTGTAGTGACAGCGCTGGGTGTAGGCGCACTTGGTGTCGGGGCACTGATAGGATCCTCGGCGAAGCTATTTTTCACACAGAATGGTTAGAAAACGGTTCATGTCTATAATGAGTCTACGTAGATGCACTCACTTTTCGATAAAGGACTCAAAATGTTCCTGAACCAGCAGGCCAATTCTGTCCTCAACACGACTGATCTCAGTAGAATTCGGGATCCTTGAGCTTCGTGGAACCTGGTCATCCGCAAATCCATCACCCTCATCATCGCTTGGGGCACCCATATTCTCTGAAGGAGGTCCTCGTGGACGTGCTGAGGAGGACGAGGGGAAGCCCATATTGCGTCTAGGGGTCGGAGCAGCCCGCGAGGGGGCGTCCGACATCATGAAGCCGGCATCGCTCGAGGGAGTAGCCATTGCGGCGCTTGAATTATAGTGATCGTCTGTACCGGGTTGACAGTTGACAAGTGACGATGCACGCAATGGTTTGGTTGACCGACTCTTGGTGGATGAATTGATTGTTGAATGTCGAGGGGAGATTTTAGTTGCCAGGGCAAAGGCATGGAGCCTGTGTGGGGTTATCCCTGGCGCTTGAGCTTCTTACAGGGCGACGCGTCCAGAACGCGTAGAGGGGCTAATTACGTGACGCGACTTTAATTGATTGCATCTAGAGTTGACCAATTGGCTCGCACTATCTATGTAGCATCATTAATTATCTCGATGATAGGTAGAGATGATAATGAGGAAATAATGTATCTCTGAAACTTGATTTTTGTGCTTAGAGTCTACATGATAGCAAAAAATACCAAATTCACCGAAATTCATGCTAACATCGTGGCCAATCAATAGTCGAAGCAGCCATTCATGATGAGAAATATCAAGCATATGAAAAGATTTGATCTTGACAATGACTTGAGCCTGTTACATCAGTAATACTAATACCATCTAGTATGTAACGTCATGTCTTGCTATGAAACTGTACTATGGAATCGGTAGGGCATAGCGTAAGGAAATGAAATTCAAGACATTTCTATGTTAGTAGTGTGATCCTGTTGAAAATTACTTGTCTTCTTCTCTTGCTTGGCATGATGAAAATAGATAAGAAACGAGGCTATTACATATTATAATTGTTTTAATATAGAAGTAGTTGCGGTTATGCATTTAAGTGAACTTTCCCGGCTTGCCCATTCCCTGGAGTTGTCGAGAGACTCAAAAGTCTCTCGTGCTGTTGGTGGTCGCACAACTCTAGCACAAGGGACTCAGAAAGCTACTCTACAAGTCACATGAAGGCTCTCGTAAGTATCTTGTCTGGCAGAAAACATAAGGTGGGAAGCTGGAAGAGATGGGAGTGCTCCTCTTCCGATTTGCGTGGTCTAGACCAGATGCAAGCGTTTGATGCACCTATATCTCGAAGACTATGTTTCCCTAACACCATGATGTATGTATTCTACAACTCAAGTTAGACTAAGAGGTAAACTATACACTGCAAAACATGTTTCGTGACGGTAAATCTATACCGGGCTATGAGTGCTTCCTTGCCTGTGCTCCAAAATGGTCTTCTGACTTGTCTACCATGCATGCCTATACGACTGAGTCATGAATCATGATCAACGGATCATATGCCAAAGCGCATATACCAGCATTTATATCGTTCACCTGGGTAGGCCTTCGGGTACTAGATCATTTGTTCCATACCGATATAAATGGACTTATCCTTTCAGCTGCTTGTGATAGGCAAATGACCACAATGGATGGTGTAGGAAATGCAACCCAAGTTTCACTCTAATTCTCATTTGTAATCCAAACTCCAATCAAGGAACCAAGTCGTCAAAGTTAAGTTGACCGTTTAACCAAAAGTTCCTGATTCAACGTTCAAACCAGGCGAAACCTAAATCATGTGTTCCGTCCCGTCCGGCCGTTAAGAGTTTCACAATACGCTAGACCTGAAGAGATGCACCTCAGTATGCAATACACCGTCATAAAAATACTACGGTAGCAATCTGATAGCAGACCGACCATCCGGAAATGACACACATATCCAAGTGATCGACTGGTCACTGCTTATCATTAAGTAACCATACCCCCAAGCTCCGAATGCAACTCTTATGCAGGGACCTTGTGACACGCCCGACTGGCACTCACCAAGGTATAGTATAGTACCTTACTCACTCGTACACCCCAGTTGAAACGTCCACGCGCAATTTTAACACATGCCATTCGACAAGTTTACTCCACCACCTTTTGCCTAGTCAACGGTCGAGAATAGTCGAGTCTCCCAGAGCAACGATTCATTCATTTCCTGGCCTCGTATAGGCCCAGGCCCAACATTCTTTGCATCCCAATAATACCCCATGATGGCCTGGCAACCTCCGCGTGGGAATGTCGTGCAGATGTTACGTTCCCATGCCTTCAATATCCCTGGAATCGAATCACGCCAGCTTCCATACTACCGTGTAAACTCATCTAAGATTATGATTATCCACTATCTAATGGTAATTTGCCCACAGAATCATGTCCATTCCTTTGCCCAGCCAGTGCAAAACGCCATTCTACATAACCGATACCATGCTGATGCCGACGAGGGAAGATTGAGATAGCCATATAGAACAAGGGCCATAGGAATGCACACAAGGGTATAATGCCTATTGATCAAAGTCCGTCCAAACCATATTTCCCTGCAACTAGGGTAAATCGACATAAATAATAACAGCCCATGTAAATCTCCTCTTGACATTCCATCATAGTACCTCCATTCAACATTCCATTCGTGTCCATGATCCCAGTCACGTTATCCCGTCTATCCTGTGTCCATCCAATCCCGTCAAAGATAATCCAATGAGATCCTCTATGGTGTAGATACCTGAGAGCAAACGCAGTCCAACAGAAAAAGAAAGAGAAAAAAACAAGAAAAAGATAAGCTTGGAGTAGGCGACAAGTCTATGCGACCATACATGACCCCCCCTGTTAGTAAATGAGGTCACTACCTCGATAAAGGTATGAAAGATAAAGAAATGCCATAGTGTGCCTATCAGGCCGAGAAAGCATGACTCGAGATTGACAAAAAGGCTCAAGCAGCATCAAGATGAAATAATAAGAAAGAATATGACGCCTAGAAACGTCTTGCGCAAGCCTGGGCATTGAGTGCAGTGTCGCGCTAGCGTAATGTTGTATTGTGAAGGTGGCGTATGGCGTCGATGGTGCGGTGCGGCGCTGCGTGATTGGTTTGGCGGCCAGAAACCAACAGCTGATCCCTGCTTTGCGCTCAACGGATCTACCCGCCAAGTCGTGGTTGGGTCTCCGGCCTCTAGCTCCATTGATCCATGACCAACAAGAGGGTGTGGTTGAATGGTACTGTAGAGTGCCGTGCTTTGACCGCATGACCATCCTGCGGGCACACGCTAGAAGTAAAAGGAAGGGGGATGGGGGTCAAAGAGTTGCGATATTCCCCGAGGTTGGCGCCCGAGCCGTGGATCGTCTTGTTGGTTGCTCTTTACCTGAGGTCTAGGTCAAGCTTAGGCACAGGACCTGCCGCAGACAGCATAACCCAGCCACAACCTGCACGTCCAATGGCGCCATCATCAACGGGAACCTCAGAGCGAACATGGATCTGGGAGGGCTGTTTCGAGACAAGATGGTGTCTCGTTGGACTCTGCCATTGGCGTGCGCCACAACACCTGACTATCCCCCACGACCCTCCTTCATTGTTCACGAGGCTGCTTGATACAACCTTCCGACACAACCAGGCCATCAACACGAGGTAGAAGGCCCGCAGGGCCTTCAACAGTCATCCGATGATGACCTAGGCGACTGAGCGCCACAGCCCTTTCATGCTCTTGGTGCAGGTTCTGCATATCCCGCTGCACCGTACACTGGCTGAGCTGTCTGTGATGTCAGGCTGGGATAGCCTTCTGGGTATGTTGCAGGCGTGGGGTCCCATCGAGGAGGAGTTGCAGTTGGTGGGTGATGGCTCAGCGGGGTATGCAAACCGCTTGTTCCATATCCTCCGCTTCGGCTGTCGTAAGTCGAAACTGCTGGCAGGGGTGTTGTGTTGATACGCAGAGGCGGCTGCTGCGGACTGTGATGACGAAGACCAGGGCTCAGCGTTCGAGATGCAGCCGTAGAGTATCCCGGAGCTGTAGTGTACGGCGTCCAACTAGGTTGAGAGCCTGATAGTGATCGAGGGGAAGGTATCGAGTCGTGATGCTGAGGGAGCGAGTATTGCGTATGAGCATCAGGATGAGCTGGGGCCATGCTTTGCCCAGGAGGCGTGGGCAAAGGCGCATACCCTCCGTTGGTCTGGCTCATCATTGGGGGAGGCACCGGCGTGCTGGGATTGACGCTGTACTTGCCGATAATCTTTTTGAGGGCAGATTCAAGAATTTTCCATGGGAATACCTTGACGTCCTTCTCAATGTTGCGGGGCTTGGGGTTGGGAAAGCCCATGATGATCTTGAAGAACTCCTCGCTATCTGGCTTAGCCTTGGACACTGTCTGCGGATGGAAGCCTTCCAAGTTACGGCGAATACGGTTCTTCTCCTCGACGCTGAAACGATTCGGCGCAGCGACCAGCTGCTCGAGAAGGTGAATAGTGTCGACCGATGTGACATAACACTCGCCTTTTTCGGCCCACCAGATGCATGATATGCAGATGCTGTTGGTTGGTCGCTCATTGACGCTTACCGATTGGCAGGTGGCGTTAACTGTAGATCCCTTTTGTGTCTTGCGGAAGAGGACAATCCGACGACGGTTGGCCCACTCCTCTGATGTCCAGTTCTCGGCCATCGATTCCAACTTGCCTGAGATCTTCAAAACAGCCTTGCCAGAATAAAGCGAGATAGGATGATAACTTGTGTTGTTTCCAGCATTGGCAGTGATGGTGCTGGTTCGGACAAGCTGAGGAGCACCGTTAGAGTGAGACGGAGAAGACATTCCCAAGGGTGTCAAAGGCGGGCGTCCAACCAAGGAAGTGTCCAATCCACCGGGGCCTCTCCCTGTGCTGCCCAGCGTGCTCGGATAAGGACTCCATCCCGTCGTTGGACGCCGATGGTAGTGAGAGTCTGTGAAGCTCGTGCTCCTGTTGTAAGTACTAATCATGTCGCTGTTTGCTTGCGGGAATGTATTGGCATATTGTCCTTGCTGAGGTGGATATTCGTAGGTATTTGTACCAGGCTCTGATGGTAGCTGAGGCTCACCTTTGGGTGAGGTACTCGGCTGATCGATCGTGGTGGCAGGTGCCGCGTCCTCATGCTTAGGTATCTTAGTCGACCTCGTGATGTCATCCCCGGACCCTTCGAGATACTGAAAAGTACCAACGGGAATGCGAGAAATTTCTTCTCCAGAAGGACCGTCGAGCACGAGTGACAACGGCACATTACTGTTTGCACAGTTTGTGACCAGAAACTGAGGCGCATCTCCAC